CTTCTTCCTCCTCTCCTTCTTCCTCCTCTCCTTCTTCCTCCTCTCCTTCTTCCTCCTCTTCTTCTTCTTCTTCTTCTTTGCCCCTGCTGACCCACTCACCTCCGGAACATGCCGCCTCCCATGCCCGCCGGGCGTCCCCTGTAATACGGCACAATGCGCACCGACACAGCCGTCAAGCCGGTTCTGCCCGCCTCGGACGACGACTGGCAGGTGGCCCTGCCGTCCGAGTAATCCGTTCCCACCTGCACGCGGCTTCTCTCCCTCAGCATCTATCCTTCCCTTGGTTCCCCTCCCCACCCTCTTCCTCCCCGCTTCTCCCTCTCTTCCCCCGCCATCCACACCACACGAACATGTGGGGGCGGGAGGAGAAGGAAATAAGAAAAAGAAATGGAAATCCCTCGTAATCGTGTGGCTGCGCCCCCCTCCGCCCCTCGGCCGGGCTGGGTGATGACGATACATCTGACAGACAGGGGGGGGGGGCAAAGGCACGGCGCGGCACAACAACAATGACAACAAGGACAAGGTGTATTCTTCCGAAACCGCGTGCCGTCAGTACTGGCCGCCATGGACCGATGCATCGTAGGCGGGGGCTTGATAGTGGTCGCGCCGGCGCGCGTCAGCTCCCGCCGCCGCCGCCGGCGGGGCCAGCGGCACCGATGGCAATTGCAGCCCGCCCACCGGGGGCAGCGAGGGCACCACCTGCAGTCCACCCACCGGCGGGGAACCGGCCCCCGGGGGGGACGCCCAGTCGGCATCCACGTTGGCCCGTGGCCAGCGTCCATCGCCACTGGACGCGGGGTAGTGCGCCGGCGGGAGCTGCGGCTGGGCAGACCCCCATGAGCCACGGCCGCCACCGGCGCCATGCGAGTACCCCCAGTCGCCAGGGCCGCCGGAGGAGGGGTCCGACCGCCAGTCGCCCCCCCGGCCGCCATATGGCTCGGACCACCCGCCATCCGGGCGCGAGCCAGCCGGCGGGCCGTAGCGGCTGCCGCCGTCCTGCCCATACGCATCGTAGCCATAGCCATCGCGTCCGCGCCCGCCCGCAGGGGGCCCGTACGCGTCACGTCCACCCGACGGCGGGCCATAGGCGTCACGCCCGCGGTCCCGGGCCCGGTGGAAGTCCCCCCGATGGGAGGGCTCCCACTCGGAGCCCGGCGCATCACGGTGGGAATGGTGGTGGTGGTGATGGTGGTGATGGTGGCGATCGCGGTCCCAGTCACGGTCGCGCTCGCGGTCGCGGTCACGGTCGCGCTCGCGATCACGGTCACGCTCGCGATCACGGTCACGCTCGCGATCACGGCCACCGCGCCCACGCCGAGACGGCTCCCGCGGTGAGGAGGATCGCCGCCGGGACCGTGAAGCACCGCCGCCCAGCCGACCACGAGTCGGGTCCTCGGCCGGGGTGATCGCCGCGTTGGCATCGCCGGCGTCCGTCTCGTCGTCGCCAATGTCGAGGAAGATGGTGTCCTGTGCAACACGTCGCCGGTCAATGACACTGCCAGGCAGGGGGAGCGAGGGCAAAGGGGGGAAAGGGGGAAAGGGGAAAAAGGGGGAAAGGGGGAAAGGGGGGCAAAGGGAGAAGGTGGACGCACAGCATCGAAGTCGTCGGTCTCGCCCTCCTCGATGATGCGCTGGGCCGACGGCACGAATGGGACAATCTCGTCGTCGCGAATGTCCTTAAGGTCCGCATGCTGGGACAGGGACCCCGGAGAGGGGCAAGCGGAGAGAGGGGAGAGAGTCAGCGACTGGAAGAGGCAAGAGGGGGGGGGGGGGGTGAAGCATGCGGCAAGAAACATACCAGTCGGCCGCGGAAGCGGACCTTGCCCGGGGCATTGCTCTGGTCCAACAGCTCACGGAAGGCTGCCTGGTTCCGGCGCACAGTCCGCTCATCGTACGGGAACTCCGGCGGGCAGTTGGCCGTGATGTGGCCCTTGGAGGAGCAATTGAAGCTACGGCAGCGGGCATGCATTTATGTGCGTATGCGTGGACACGCGGATGCATGGCCAGCAGATACAGGCAATCGAGACAAAAAAGGGGGGGGGGAACCAGTCAGCTCAGGGCGCGACGAAGGGGGGGGGGGAATAGAACTCAATCACATGCGAAGGAGGGAGCGGAGAGAGACATAGCGAAACATAGGGGGGTGGAAGCAAGAGGCAAGAGCGCCATCACAAGGGGGCAGGAGAGAGAGAGAGAGAGAGAGAGAGAGGGAGAGAGAAGACACAGACACGCACCACCGCCGGGACTTGTCCACCAGCCAGGACCCACGCGCCTCCGAGTCAATCGGGAAGATGCAATTGGTGCCCCGGTCGTAGTCGGGGATCAGCCAGGAAGACGCGCCGCGGGCCACCAGCGCGGCGGCCGTGTGCCGCGGGTCGGCCACCTGCCCCAGCGAGGGGTCCGACTCGAGGGCCCCCCCCTCGGAACTGGGCGCCAGCAGGGCCTGGCTGTGCGAATGCGAGAGGGCAATGCTGTGCGTGGTCGGGGTCGTGTCGATGACGAAGGACAGCAAGTCATCCATGGCCGGAGGGTTGCCGGCCCCGGAGCGGGACCCCCGGCCGCCGCCGCCGCCGCCGCCGCCGGACCGCGGCCCCGGGCCATCAATCGAAAAGGTGGTCACCGAGGCCAGGGCCCGCTCAAAGCGCCGGGGGAAGGGCGACGGGAAGGACATGTAGCCGACCGAGCCGGACCCGGAGCTGGGCTCGGCGCCCGGGGCAGTGGCCGCCAGCCGGGCCTTCACCGCCTCCAGGTCGGTGGGATTGGTGATCAGCCGCAGGGGATTGCCATTCTTGGACCGGCCGAGCCACACCACCCGGTCGGTGGCCCGGACCGGCCGCGAGTCGAAAACCAGGTCCGCATCGCGCAGCGGGTCGGCCGCCCGGAGGAGGGCCTCCTCCGTGATCAGCCGCACGGACGCCAGCCGCCGCAGGCAAAGGGCCAATGCCGACAAGTGCGCCACGCGCAGGGAGGCGATCTGCTCATGGTGCAGCAGCGCATCCAGCTGGATGGACTCGATTTCGGGGACCTTCTTGGCAGCGGGACCGGGGCCGGAGGCAGGGGCAGCCACGGGAGCGGAGTCGGTGCTCTCCATTGCGGCGCCCGCCGCAGCTGGGGCGGCGGCGTCTGTTGAGCCCGCGGTCGAGGGCTCACCGGCAGCAGGCCCGGCGGCCGGGGCCTCCGCTGGTGGCTCGGCGGCCGGGTCCGGGCGCACCTTCGGCGAACGGTAAACCATCGCATGGTAGGTGGGATTGCGCGGGCTGAAGATGTACTCCAGTGCGCGGGAGAGGTCGTGCTGTAGAGGAGGCCGGGAGGCGCCGGGAAGAGGGGCCCGGGAGGGAAGACAGAGCGGCCGGGCGGGGGGGGGGGAGGTCAGCGGCGAAGGCCAGCAGATCGGAGAGCGGAGGGGGGAATGCATTCCGGCGCACTTTCAGGAGCAGGTCCGACAGGAAATCCTGGATCAGGTGCCGGCGATGGCTGGTCGGGCAGAGGCCGGGCGATGTCAGTGCTGGAGGGCGGGGCGGGGGAAGGGACAAAGGAAGACCGCCGGGGAAAATGGCCGGCAGGGAGGAGGGGGCAAACGCACTCGCTGATGCTGCTGTGGAAGCGCACCACGATCGGCGTGTTGATGTCGGGCTGGGGGTTGGCCAGGAGAAAGGACGATGGCACGGCAGGGGTCGCGGCCTGGCCAGACGGCTGTCCTACACTTTCCCCATCGACGACATCTAGCCCATGGGCAATATCCATCGAGGTGTCGGCGGCGGCGGCGGCGGCGGCGGCGGCGGCGTCGCTGGCCGGGGAGCCGGTCGCGCTGTCCGGGCCCGCCGACACAGGGACAAGGTCCGCATCACCGGCCGCCGTCACGGAGGAGCTGATGAACGGCAGGGAGGCAGCCGGGTCGCCAGGAGGGGGAGACGACATGGCAAAGGTCGCGAGGGGG